TAACCCAGGAAAAAAGGCGAGAAACGATTTTTTGACGTTGCTTTCATGGAGGGAGGGAAGGAGGGAGGGGGGCCTGCCGACATGTACCCAGAACCACCCGTGACAATGTTTTTGCCCCATCAGGCATTGGGAGCTCAACCCAGAATTTCAAAGGGTGGTGGGACTGCGGGAACTGTGGGATAGCTACCACAATGCAAGACTCCGAAAGTTGATGCTAGCCTCGGTACTGTGGATGCACACCACTGACTTAATGCGCTTAGTGGGGACACACACAATCGACTCTATCAAATCGATTTCTAAAAAATCAACTTCTACTAAATTGACCTAATTTCGTAGTGTAGACATACCCTGAAGTCTTTAAATCAAGATTTGAGGGCTTCAGTAATTCAGCCAGAGTTTATGGGTCTATTACAGGAGTGGGAGGGTGAGATTCTGCGGCCCGCAACGTGCAGGAGGTCAGTTTAGATGATCATGATGGTCTCTTCTGTGAGTCTGAGTCCATAAAATGAGGGACATTGGAGAGTTGGGGCCCAAATGATGATGAACTCTCTCACCCTGCATGGTTATGACCTCCCACAACAGCTACACTTTGCTAGAACAGTGGAACTGTCAACCTCCAGAGTGTGACACAATTTCTCAATGCCTGACCTGAAACCTCAGGGCCTTCTAAGAAAAATGCAAAACCTATTTCTGGGAGCCCTGCATAAAACTTGTCAAAAAAGCGATTCCACTATAGTCAGGGAATAGTTTTTTTCTTTTTGGTGAAGTTTTGTAAATGTATTAGACAAGCCATATTTGAGCTACACTATAAGACTTTGAAAACTCACATTGCTTAGATTGCAAGCTCTGGGGCAGGGACTGGATTTTTATTGTGTGTAAACTGCCTAGCACTATGCAGCCCTAACTGCTGATTGGGGTGGTTAGGTGCCATCATGATACAAATAAATATAAAATAATGACGATTATGAAATGTTGGTTTTTCTCTTTTGAAAATAATTTTTTTAATCTACTCATAACTCAATATGAACTTGTAAAAACTTCAAAACTGATTTTATACATAAATCATCAAAGATAACTAGTGAAGGTGATTATTTTACCCAAATTCATGTCCGAATGCTGGTTTTAGTGAAGGTGAACTCAGTACATTTGTTTACCATATCTCTCGCAGAAGTTATATTACAAGCTCCAGTCAATGGTACACCCTCACCTGGAATACTGTCACCCTACCTCAGAAAGGATGTCCCAATAATAGAGGGGGTGTGTGTCCAAAAACAGGTGTTAAGGGAGCAAATGATAAATATGCAAAATAATGAATATCATAGAAAAGATACATCGGGAACTTCTGGTTACCCTCTTTCATAAAGCAAGAACAAGGGGTATTCAATGAAATTACAAGGCAGCAAATTTACAACTGATAAAAGGATCACACAATTAGCCTGTAAAACTCACTGCTACAAGGTATCATTGAGCCTAAGAGTATAGCAAGATTCAAAAAAGAATTGGACAGTTACATGCATAACAAGAATATCAAGTTAGTATAAGCCAATCTCTAAACTAATGAAGGTTATGAAGAAAGTACCTCTGTCTGTGTGCAAGTTATTCCAAAACTGTGTATTGCAATGATTTGTGCACCTTCCTCTGAAGCAGCTGGTGTTGGCTACTGTCAGACACAGGGTACTCAATTAGATGGACCTGGGATCTGATTCATGGCAACTGTTCCACCTGTTTTGAGATTCCATTCCAATTCAAAGAAACAAACAAAAGTTTCTAGCTCTTTCAGAGATAAAGACAGCCTTTGAAATGTACTTCGATGTGTAGGTTTGTCAGTTTGCCACAGGAACTGTTGTAAAAAATCATGGGGGTTTGTGAAAAGTTAGGCCATATTGTCTGGTTATTTAATTTAATCAATATCAACTGATAGTTCTTATTTATCTAACTAATTTCCACTTGATATTTGTACAAATCTTATTGTTTATGTGTAACCTTCAAGCACTACTTGTTGATACATGCCCAGGTAACATGTCCAGGCTGGCTTCAACCCTGGTGATTGACAATCATGAAAAACAAGAGTCACTGATGGATATTAATGCAGGAGGAAGAGAAGTTTACCTCTAGTCTAACTCAGGAGGGATGACAATTGAATTTGTTTCTAAAGGAATATGTTTGTAAGCAGGGTCTGAATGAATGCTTCCCTGACAGCTAGCTGGGAGGGGGAGAGGCTTTGGGTGTGTTTATGTACATAACAGTTTGCTCCTGCTCTGCTTATATATTCAGCAGATACAGTGGTGTCAAAGTGATGAACTTTAGCTGGTGTTGGGTACAAATCACCTTAGTACTGAATGCTGGGGTAGCGATATATGGTTACCAATGTTGTAATTACAGGGAGTTCTCGGACTTACGACTCAATTTGGTCCTCAAAATTGCGTTTAAGTCGAAACACTGTAAGCTGAAACCACTTTTCCCATAGGAATCAATGGTATGAAGGGGGAATTGGTTCCTGAACCAACGCTTGGTACACTATTTTCACCACCCAGATTTTTGTACTAAATGAATATCTGACTGATGTTGTAACATCAAATGTATTTACTGTACACTGTATTTTGTAAACAGCATTCAAATAAACATATAAACTCACATATGCTGCTCCGAATGCTGGCAACACAGGCTCAGAAAGCCAGGGAGAATGGCACACATGCTGAGCCTCAGCCAATCACTGTTCAAGCATTCTGATTGGCTGAGCCCAGGGCTGGGAGCCAATCAAAAACAAGCAGCAACCCTACCTGGCAACAAGCTACTCTGCTGCCTCAAGGCCAATCAGAAGCGATCCCATCCAGCTCCATACCAGTATAACACAACCAGGAAGTGATTTCAAGCAAACTTTATGCAAATAGAGCATCGTAAGGGCAAAACAAGTGTTGTAGGGGCCAAATGGGTTGTCAATTGAAAAGCGTCGTAAGTGGTGTCCAATGAAAGTTGGGTGTCATATGTTCGAGGACTCCCTGTATTGTAGGAATACTGGAAAGCAGGACCATGCTTAACCTGTCCCAAATGAGGGGGCCACCCTCAGTTGAAAGAACCTCGTTAAGCCAGGGGCTCAAATATCAGAGCACTGTGAAAATAAATGGGGGATAGGTATCCTATCTAGGAGGCTGTCTACCCTTGTGGAAGATTTTCCCTAGTCTGGTTTAATCTGTTTCTCCCCATGGTTCAAATAATTAAAAATAAATAGGTTTCATTAGGAGCCTCTTTGTTATGTTAGCGGCCCGAATCAGAGCTGAAATCAGTTGTGGTAGGACTTTGTTTCTGCCCTGCCTGCTAAGAGCTAAAAATCACTTGAGATAGGGCAGTGTTTCTGCCCTACCTGCAAAGAGCTGAAAATTACTAAGACACTTATGTGCTGAGGTCACAGAAGAGAGGCAGGTGGCAGCAGAAGGCAACTGACAATCAGCTGGTCAACAAGTGGCTGATAAGCAGCCAGCAGAACGGCTGGTGGAGAGGCCAGAGCTTCCAACATTGCTGCTACTTGCTGAGCTGAAGTGGGGCGGCAATGGTAAGAAATCTGAGGCAAAAAAACCTAGCATAAAGCCAGAGTATGTTTTACCTCTGGATGGGGAACCTTCACCTCCACTGCTGCTAGAAGGGTTAGGCACTGGTATTCACACTCCTCCCACCGCCAGTGGCATGTCTTCAAAGTTGGTGATGGAGGAAATGAAAAAAGGAAAAGTCACAGTGCTCAAGGAAAAAAAAAAAAGACAGAACATCAGAGAATCTGTAACTCCCATGACATACTCAGCTTCCCACTGATTGTAGAAGACATAAATGTTCAAGATTTACACATACAATTGAATAGGAGAGAGGCAACAACAGCTACACACCACTAATCAAAATCCTTTAATTAGGCTTGGCAGAATTTAATTTAATTTTTTTATAATTTCAATGGCTAATATCAATGTTTATTTTAAGCAATTTTTTCTATTTTTAATCAATTTAAATGTTCATAGCTGTGGGAACATATGGGATGGTCAGACAATGGGGGATCCAAAAATATTTAATGACAGTAGGCATTGAGAGTCAAAAGGTTAAAGTGTTATAGTCATTAGAACACAAACTGTCAACATCACATGTTAAAAAATACAAAGTTAAATATCCTTAAGTCAAACTCTAATAAGCTCTCAAGCAGCATTTTACTTAGTTTACCTGTAAATTTCAATTATTATTGATGGAAATATTGTTGTCAGTTTCTGTGTATGGTGAAATCAATGTTTATCGATTACTAACTGAATCCTTCCAAGCCTACCTTTAAGGTAGACTGCATGGTAGTTGGACTTTGCTTGAAGCAACAAACATCCCTCTGTTTTATTTGGTGATGGAAATTGCACATTCCCTGAGTTTGGGTTTTTGTTTACTTCTAATAAATATTTAAAATTACTATATGTCTCTCACATACATGTGGGGACTGTCCACAAATTATGCAACACCTTTCTGTGATTTTCAAGACCTACCCACTCCTTTGTAACACTTCATAACACTGAAACAAACATTCTGTCATGCAAAATTAAGGACCCAGCCCTCCAGTAATGCATTATGTAATTTATGGACAGCCCTTATGTACACTTATCTCAACAGCAATGGTATCACACGTAGCTGCACACATGCACTCACACATGTGCACATTCATACACACAGCTACACACATGCATATACAGATATCACCAGGCCTTAAATTCTCACTATTTCCCAGAGGCTCGGGGCGAGTCAGGGACGGGTTCCTGCGGGTTTGAAAATCTTTACTGGAGCTCCACTCTGGATGGCTCCGGCTGAATTTAACCCCAGGATCTTACCCCTATCAACGCACAGCTGTACACGTGCATGCACGCACACATGCATATCCACACGCATGGATGTACACATATTTAGCACGTCCTCAGATATCACACACATCTGCACACACACGCCCATGGGTACACGCTACGCACGTGGGACATACATGTCAGTGTGCAGACGCTCCCGCATGTCCGTGCCTCACCCGCGCACACGCACGCCGGGCCCTCCCACGTGTGGCGGAGCGGCAGGGGCCGGGCCCGGGCAGTCTCTACCCCCACGCCGCTCGGGGGCAGGGGGCGGAGCGGGGACGAGGCGCACGATGGCGGCGGCCGGGTCCGAGGCGGCGCTGCCCGTTCTGGCCGAGCAGCTGGGACTCGCCGCCCGAGCGGAGCGGCTCTCGGAGGCCTCCTCGGCCCCCGGCTGCCTGGAGACCGTGCGGCGGCTGACGGGCCTGTTCCGGGAGGCGCGGCCCAGGTAGCGGGGAGGAGGGGCCCCGCGCGGGCCACGTGGGGCTGGGGGTGTGCGTCGGGCCGGGGTGAGGGGCAGGGGGTCAGCGCGGCGAGGTGGAGTGTGTGCGGGTGTCATGGGGGTGTATGTGTGTGGGTCGTGTGTGTGCGCGTGTAGTGGGGG